TCCCTGTGTGGTGGCGGCGTGCCGTCCTCCCATCCCTCCCTTGGGTTGTCCGTTTTCTTTCTTTCTTTAAAGAGCACTTGTTGTGTGTTGTGTGTTGTGGTGGTGTGCGGTGTGCGGGGTGTGTGTGTGTTGTGCGTTGTGTGTTGCGTGTTGCGTGTTGTGCGGCGGGCGGTGGCCGGTGTGGTCACCAGCCGCCAGTACTGCCTCGCGTCGCTCGGCATCGCCGGCCAGATCTCGCGCCACACGTGGTTCTTCATGTGCTGCAGCGCGACGTAGACCGTGTTCTCGCCGCGACCCGTGCGCACCGTCGGCTCCTCGTCGCGCAAATCGCCCCGCTCGGTCGCGTGCCACCGGCTCGCCCTCGGCGCGGTGATTCGCGTCGTCGCCAGCCACTTGCCGAAGCGGATCGTCCACCGCATCGTCGGGTGCAGACCGAGGGCCGTCCGCTGCATCGGCACGCTCTTCCCCGCCGCGGCCTGCGTCGCCAGGAACTCGCGCAGCCGCAGGCGCACGACCCGAAGCTGCGCCGACAGCGCCGGCCCGTGGGGCGCTAGCATCGGCCGCCCATCGCCACGCGCAGCTTCCTCCTGCTGCTCGTCATCCTCCGCCTCGAGGGCGTCCGCCAGCGCGCTGCGCCGCACGCCCCGGCGCACAGGAGGCGGCGCCGGCCGCACCTCGGCCGCCTCGGCGTCGCCCGCGGCACGGGCGCCATGCTCGCCGTCCACGCGGTCCATCGCCGCATCCCCATCCCCGTCTCCGGCAGCGCCGCCTGCGCCCGCGCCGGCCTGCTCTGGGACGGCGCGCCACCGCTCCTCGTCCAGCATGTGCCACCACCGCCGATCCGGGTAGCCGTCGTACTCGACCTCGTGCACGATCCGTCCGTCCCCGTCCTCCTCCCGCGCCATGACGGTCGCAGGGTACCACCGCTCGCTGTCGCAGAAGATCTCGAGGCGCGATCCGGTGGGCAGGACAGTGTGGCCGTCGAGCGCCGCCCTGGCATCCTCGCGCTGTCGCTTCCGCCGCTTCGCCTTCGTCTCCTTGCTGCGCAGCAGGGTGTAGTTCGGGCCCACCTCCGCCACGCTGTCCAGCACGTGGGCGGCGCTCGCCATCTCGACCGCGTCGTCCTCCGGCGGAAGCTCCGCGTCGCCCGCGGCCGCTTCCCGAGCACGCTCGTCGCGCATCCGCTCGTGGTCGGGCCTGCCGACGCGCCACGCCGGTGCCCGTGTGCCTCGCCGCCGCGTCCGGCGCCGGCATCGATCGCTGCCACAGGTCGTCCCACAGGTGTCCCAACCTGAGGGAGGGTGTAGAGGATGTAGAGTGTAGAGCGCTGTAGAGCTGTAGAGCTGTAGAGCGCTGTAGAGCTGTAGAGCTCTACATCCGCCGCGGGACGAAGCGCGTGCTAGAGCGATGTAGAGGCGCTCTACAACGTGAAATCTCTACAACAAACTCTACATCATAAGCCGCGAACGAGGCACGGTCGCTCTCCGACATGAGGCGCGTTGCGCTTGCCAGTGCTGCCCTGGCCTTCTGTCTGCCCGCCCAATGGGTGGCAGGTGCCTCTGCTGCTGTGGCATGCCTCACGGCTGCGACTGGCCGGCGCCTCGGCGCGTCATAGTTTCGTGCGAGGGACGCGCCGTAAAATTCTTTTCCATTCGGTTGCCGCGTAAGCGCACAGTCCGTTGCCCGAGGGGAAGAGCGCCCTGCACGTTGGCGTGCACAGAGGTGGAGCCGCTCGGCCTCGAGGGCAGTCGCGAGGGGAGAGACTTTCGGCAGCCACTGACGAATCGCCGCGCCGCCTCACGTTCCGCACCCACGACCTCTCCTAGGTGGGGTGCGCCGCAATGGAAGTTTGGAGTCGGTGGCAGCCCTGTGCATACACGGGCAGAGATGAGCCCTCTGACCCCGCCGCCACCCCATCCGTAGGACGTCTGCGCGCCCGGTCGAGAAGGAGAGCGAGACGGGTACCTCGGCGACGTGCACTGGCAGGCCCCAGGCTTTCCGCCCGGCGGGTTGAGAGCGTTGCGCTTTGTAGGCCGCCTGACAGCGAGCAGGCTCCACGCTCCAGAGGGAGCGCCGGGAGGACGTGGCCCCCTGCTCTCCGTCCCCGCCGTCTGCGACACTGCTCGTCGTCTGCGAACGAGATGCTGCTGCATGATCCAGGCGCAGCCTCTCTGGCCCGGCCCCGCTCTCCCCGCCCCGCAGCAGCCAGCGTCGAACAACTCGAGGGCAACAAGACGCGGTCGTGGACGGGTTCTGTCG